ATATATTGAATTAAAAAACTGTTGATGTATGAGCCGTTATACAAATGAAACGGTTACCGAGTCGTACGGTTTTCGCCATCGTTTTTGCATCCCTAATATTTATCATATCAGTAATAATTTTATCTAATCAAGAAAAGAACAACTCTATAACTAATTCAATCGAATGATTGATTGTTGACAAAATCTACCAAGTGCATTCTTTTCTAATTGAGCGAGTGAAGTGTAAATGATTCCATCAGCAAAAGAATAAGATAATAACGATACAACAGGCATAGTAGACAGTTATTGTGTAAGGGATTCATATATTTTATCAATGATGTTCTCGAGTTCTGAATCTGATATCTATCGAAATTATTCAAAATAAAGACTTATTTTATTCTCGTCACTATTACTATTTAACAAATCGACAAATTCAAATCGATTAACATTGGAATGATATATGAACAAAAAGACGAGTGATGCTCACAATTATTACATGACCATTTGATTTAATTTGATGAATTGATTGCATATTATAATAAATAAGATAAAATAGTGATGTATACAAAAATATTTCACGTTTTTCTGTGTTAATATTTTTTACAGGTAAATAGTGACAAGTTAAAACGTACCCAAAAACCACATGTATTTTTTTATGTTTCTTATCGGTAAAGCTTAATATTTCATAATACGTTGTAACGAAAAGAAAACCAAATAATTAGATAGTTGAAAGAATGAATTGTTTCCAAAATATTTTTCTTTTGCGAGATTAATATATATACCGAAAGATAGAAGTTGCTATCATCAAAAGTAAAACTAAGAATTCAACATATTATTTCCCACCACCTTAATGAACTGAAATGTTTACGTAAATAATATATTGTATTGCTTAGAAAAACAATTGAAATAAGTATCGAAAAAATGCGAGTACATTCTATAAGATGACTGCACTGAAGGACATTAGTATATGATTAAGTTTTTTTTACACTGATATGACAAGGTAAGAAGTATGTATAAGATCATTTTGTTTTGACACTTTATATGAGTCTACTCAGTTATTCAGACGACTGTATAATGCATTGAAGCGTATACATGTATGTAAAAAGTGCATATAATTGTTACAAAAATATATTCATTGACGTCATACACAATGACAAAGATATTTTTCGATTACAGCTGATCATATATATATATATACATACGTTGGATATTTTTGTTTAATTCTTTACAGATCTTATTCCACTAGATATATCTCAAATGAATCAAAATATGGCATTTCAATCTGGACGATCCAGTTTTCTTTCAACACTTCCGTTAGTTTCGTTTTGTCAAAATTTATTATTCTCATATGCTGGTTTTTTCTCTCTCTCTTTAGACTTTTTCGTAAATCAAGTGAATCTGAAAAAGATGAAACTCGTCGTTTAAAATTCTATCAATTGTATCGATTTGCTGATATATGGGATATTTTCTTAATGATTATTGGTACAATAGCTGGTTAGTTAAATTTTTAATATATAATTTTTAATATATAATTTTTAATCTATTTCAATTTTCTATTTAGCAATAATTGCTGGAAGTATATTTTATAACTATTACTTAAAAATATCTGATATATAAATATTTTATATTTATAGGTCTCTATTCAGTGATGTTAATTCTTTATCGAAGAGCAATGACTGAACTTGTTAATTTAGGAAAATTAAAAGCAAATATTACTACGAATAGTACGACGACTACGAATCTTAGTGAATGGTATCTAGATTTTTCTTTTCTCACTTTGTTTTATTGATATTTTATAGTTTCATTGTACCGAACAATAGCACTACATTTGATTCATCTGAAAATGATATAAATGATGTTGTGAATTATTATGTTCTTGTTGGTTTTCTTAGCGTTTTTTTCTATTGGTTGGCTTGGATATGTTGGATTCTTTCGAGTGAAAGACAAGTTCGACGCATGCGGTTTGAAATTCTATTCCTATATTTGAAAAGAAATTTTTGTTTCTAGTTATGCACTTTTTCGAAATATCTTAAGACAAGAAATTGGTTGGTTTGATGTACATAATACGGGTGAATTAAGTAATCATCTTATTCGAGATCTTGGTAAGACAAAAATAAGATTCAACTATTTTATTCAGTTTTGTTTTAAATTATTTCATTGTAGATACAATCAAGGATGGAATGAAGTATGAGAATTTAATTAAAAGTCATTTATATATATTTTCTTGTTTTCGTATTTCTAGTGATAAAATGGCTGATTTTATTGCTCTTCTATCACGTGTGATAGCCTCGATAATCTATGGTCTTTTAATTGGATGGAAATTAACTCTTGTATTTTTATCAGTAACTCCATTAGTAGTTCTTTCTTTCAATTTTACAGTAGTAGTAAGAAATATTTGAATTTCTATGGATATGTTATGTGAAATATTATTTATTTTAAGGTTATAATAAAATATACAAAGAAAGAAATTGAAGCTTTTGTATCAGCATCATCAATTGCTCAAGAAGTATTACAAAGTATTCGAACAGTGACAGCATTTCATGGACAAAAAAAAGAAGAAGAAAGGTAAAGAAACACTATATATATAATAAATCATTATATTTTTAATGTAAATTTAGGTTTTCTGAAAATTTAATTTTAGCAAAACAAATTGGGATTAAAAAAGGATTATATATGGGATTATCTCAATGTTTATATCAAATTTTTCTCTTTTTCGCATTTGGAATTACGTTTTGGTAACAAAAAAACTCGAATTACTTTTCATTTTGTTACGTTTACTTTTCCTTAACTAATTTAAGGTATGGTCCAGAACTTGTTCGAACAGATTGTACACATTATTCAGCTGGAACAGTCTTAGCAGTATGTAAATCATATACGTGTATTATTTACTATTTAACTTTTATTTATTGTATAAATAGGTTTTTATAGGTTGTATGGTAAATGATCATTTAGAAAATATTCAAAGAATTTAATATATCTATTTATTAGGTAGCAACATTTAGTCTATCACAATTTGTTCCTAATTTTCAAAGTTTTGCTGAAGCTTTTGCTAGCGGAAGTTATGTATTCAATATTATTGATCGAGTAAATTTAATTTAGTGAATTATAATTTCTTGAAACATATTTTTTTCTATTAGCAAACAGCGATTGATGTAACAAGTAATGAAGGAGATACACCACAAAAATGTATTGGTAATATTGTATTCGATAATGTTATGTTCAGTTATCCTGCAAGACCAGAAGCACTAGTATAGTGTTCATAAATGATTTTACCAATAAAAATATTCTTTTTATTTTGTAGATACTTAATAGATTATCATTAAACATTCCGTCGGGTAAGACAATTGCTATAGTTGGAGAGTCTGGAAATGGCAGTAAGTTGGAATATGCTTTTTGTTTTATAAATCTTTATAATTATATTAAAGAAAGTACAATAATTCAAAGATTCTATGATCCAGACGAAGGTCAAATTTTTCTTGATGGAAAAGATGTAAAAACATTAAATGTTGCATGGCTTCGTTCACATATTGGAATTGTTAGTCAAGAACCTGTTCTTTTCAATATATCAATTGAAGATAATATTCTATTTGGAAAACCAAATGCAACTGATGATGAAATTGAAGCTGCTGCTAAAATGGCTAATGCACATGATTTTATTATGGAACTACCAGAGGTAAAATTAATTTTTTTTATCATAAGAATTCTTTTTGTTAATTATAGAAATATAAAACATTAGCAGGTGATAAATTAAGTGGTGGTCAAAAACAACGTGGTAAGAATATTTAAATTTTCGAAGATAAATTAAATAAATTGATATTTTATAGTGGCAATTGCTCGAGCATTAATATCAGATCCAAAAATTCTTCTTTTAGATGAAGCAACAAGTGCACTTGGTTCGTAATAATTTTTTAGAAAAATAATCTTTTATTTTTTTTTCTTTTATAAAATAGATAATACAAGCGAAAGAATTGTACAAGATGCTTTAGATAAAGCTAAAATGGGTAGAACAACAATTGTTATTGCTCATCGTTTAAGTACAATTCAAAATGCTGATTTAATTCTTGTATTAGAACATGGACAAATGGTTGAATATGGTATTCATAATGAATTAATGGAACAGAAAGGTTTTTATTATGAATTAGTTACTACTCGAAGTAAAAAAGAAGAAGAAGAACAAGTTCATATGCATATTCACGAAGAAGAAGAAGATGAGGATGAAATTGAAAAATCAGGTATATAATTATAATTAATTTTTTTCAAAATTAATTCTTTTATTAACCTTAGTATCTCATACATTACCCAAACAAATAAGTTTATCGAGTGATGTTACCGATGAAAATATGAATAATAATGATGATATAAAATTGAATGATTCATTAGAAAAACCAAAGAAATCTTTTAATACTCCACTTATATTTCAAGTTTTTAAACTTAATCTTCCAGAATGGTATTGGATTCTTTTGGGTACAATTTCTTCTATAATTTTTGGTGCTACTCCACCACTTGTTGCACTTATTTTTTCTGAGGTCTATAGTTTATTTGCTGAACCAGATGTTGAAAAACAAAAACATTTAACAATTATATATGCAGCAAGTATTTTTGCTATTGGTATTGTTGGAGGTGTCGCTCAATGTCTTAGTACAGCTGCATTTGCAAAATCAGGAGAAGAATTTACTATGCGTATGCGAAAAAAAACATTTTCAGCAATACTGCAACAAGACATGGAATATTTTGATCAAGAATCAAATTCAGTTGGAGCTCTTGTTACACGTTTAGCAACGGATGCATCTGCTCTCAAAGTAAGAAATACAATTTGAGACAG